TTAACTGATGACCCATTGTTTGCGGGGCTAATCACCACCAGACAACGTGAGGTGAACTGTTTACGTGCAGGATGCGGGCACTACCCCCTAAGTGTTTATCAGTCATCTATTGTTGAATGTTTGAATGTCCAACTACTGACTGTAAGGTCGCCAGCCGAAACTTCTTAGGTTATTCGTGAGATTTGCTGGCGACTCCCACGAAAATGTGAACTTTTCGTCCAACTATGGCCTGAACATGATGCTGGTGGAAGCTTAGTATACTTAGGGCAAATAGTTCCCGTTTGAACTGTTCTCCTTCTGATCTGGTACGACTATTCAGGCAATGTCAAGCCGGAGGAGCTCGTTTTGCCTATATTTTACCTTCAAAACCCATCTGAAATACATATTCTTGACCCTCCGTGACCCGAAATGCGGTTGTGTAACTTCCAATGGCAGAATGATACTACTACCACCAGCTGCATCAAAGTGACTTGTTGCAGAATTTATAGAATTCCTATTCATGCCAAACGGTTCTTCGTCTCTCTTGGCCCAATCGGTTTGGTTAGTCCACACCTCGCTTTAGTGAAAAATAACCGGAACAATAGCGTCAGGACGGAAGGAAGGTCGTTTGAGAGAGGCTAATGTGAATATGTATTCTTGAATTCTTATAAATTCACTGGAAATCTGACTACATTCTCATAACCTATGAGAAAACTGCGAGAAACATACGAATACAGAATACCTGATTAAAGAAAAATTAGGACCCATCATAGGATACGTATGTTACCAAATGGCTGGCTGGCATCCTATAAGGGTTAGCCTGTCAACAATGGTTGGACTAATGGACGTCTGCGCAGGCATCTGAAAGCACAAACGATTGCCAGGGACCAAATGTGCAGACGAGCCTGTGAAGGCCTCTTGGGAACCACTAGCCCGTCAGAGCATGGTGGCATACTACGGTGAGCAGTACACCGCACTAAAAATGGTGTGGTGAGGTCTGTGAGGTAATTCATGTTTTCCCCATATAATAGCATGCAGTCTTATCCGCTTGAGGTTACAGTACATGACACAGTGCTATACCTAAATTTCGTTCCTTAACAAGTGTAAAGAAAAGTACCCATTTTGGAATAAGTGAAAAGTCAGCAGACATCGTCTTACTTAGAGTAGACTATCGTTGGGGGAGTTATGTGGTCGATATGCTTGATATGCTTGTGAGAAAAACCATGATACATCGCTCATCGTAACTTCCTATAGAGAAACAGGGTGAGAGTGACCCGCTGATAACTACAAGCTTGCTGGATTAATAAAACAGCGTGTCCATATGAAACGATGGTAGGTGAGCGCATCAGAGCACACAGTGAAGTTCATATAGTGAGTGTGAACATCCCAGCTGATCAATAAGCATGGATAGAATGAACAAGACGGACAAAAGAATCAAGTCTTGCCACTACATTGATAATTTCCACAAAAGTGGTGCAAAATCATAAAAAAAATCCGAAAGGGACAAAGAGCACTCAATTGTGTCGTTTATCAGTTTGTGAAATGGATTTCCCATGGGCTTCTTGTAGAATTGCATGCACTACGTAACATAATTGACCAGCCATGTAATGGGAATTCAATTGAAAAATTCTACTGAGGTAGCAAATATGTGCTTACATAAGGGAAGGGATTGCATTCCATAGAAAACAACTCATCACATCCAAATAAGCCACTGAAGTGCACCAGGGAATTCTGAATATGTACCGAGGCTTTCGAGTAAGCTCCGTTTCAACGACTAGTAAGTAGTCTATGGGGAGAAGAGGAGTCACAAATAACAAGAGTATTTTAACTGATGACCCATTGTTTGCGGGGCTAATCACCACCAGACAACGTGAGGTGAACTGTTTACGTGCAGGATGCGGGCACTACCCCCTAAGTGTTTATCAGTCATCTATTGTTGAATGTTTGAATGTCCAACTACTGACTGTAAGGTCGCCAGCCGAAACTTCTTAGGTTATTCGTGAGATTTGCTGGCGACTCCCACGAAAATGTGAACTTTTCGTCCAACTATGGCCTGAACATGATGCTGGTGGAAGCTTAGTATACTTAGGGCAAATAGTTCCCGTTTGAACTGTTCTCCTTCTGATCTGGTACGACTATTCAGGCAATGTCAAGCCGGAGGAGCTCGTTTTGCCTATATTTTACCTTCAAAACCCATCTGAAATACATATTCTTGACCCTCCGTGACCCGAAATGCGGTTGTGTAACTTCCAATGGCAGAATGATACTACTACCACCAGCTGCATCAAAGTGACTTGTTGCAGAATTTATAGAATTCCTATTCATGCCAAACGGTTCTTCGTCTCTCTTGGCCCAATCGGTTTGGTTAGTCCACACCTCGCTTTAGTGAAAAATAACCGGAACAATAGCGTCAGGACGGAAGGAAGGTCGTTTGAGAGAGGCTAATGTGAATATGTATTCTTGAATTCTTATAAATTCACTGGAAATCTGACTACATTCTCATAACCTATGAGAAAACTGCGAGAAACATACGAATACAGAATACCTGATTAAAGAAAAATTAGGACCCATCATAGGATACGTATGTTACCAAATGGCTGGCTGGCCTGTCAACAATGGTTGGACTAATGGACGTCTGCGCAGGCATCTGAAAGCACAAACGATTGCCAGGGACCAAATGTGCAGACGAGCCTGTGAAGGCCTCTTGGGAACCACTAGCCCGTCAGAGCATGGTGGCATACTACGGTGAACAGTACACCGCACTAAAAATGGTGTGGTGAGGTCTGTGAGGTAATTCATGTTTTCCCCATATAATAGCATGCAGTCTTATCCGCTTGAGGTTACAGTACATGACACAGTGCTATACCTAAATTTCGTTCCTTAACAAGTGGAAAGAAAAGTACCCATTTTGGAATAAGTGAAAAGTCAGCAGACATCGTCTTACTTAGAGTAGACTATCGTTGGGGGAGTTATGTGGTCGATATGCTTGATATGCTTGTGAGAAAAACCATGATACATCGCTCATCGTAACTTCCTATAGAGAAACAGGGTGAGAGTGACCCGCTGATGACTACAAGCTTGCTGGATTAATAAAACTGCGTGTCCATATGAAACGATGGTAGGTGAGCGCATCAGAGCACACAGTGAAGTTCATATAGTGAGTGTGAACATCCCAGCTGATCAATAAGCATGGATAGAATGAACAAGACGGACAAAAGAATCAAGTCTTGCCACTACATTGATAATTTCCACAAAAGTGGTGCAAAATCATAAAAAAAATCCGAAAGGGACAAAGAGCACTCAATTGTGTCGTTTATCAGTTTGTGAAATGGATTTCCCATGGGCTTCTTGTAGATTTGCAACATGCACTACGTAACATAATTGACCAGCCATGTAATGGGAATTCAATTGAAAAATTCTACTGAGGTAGCAAATATGTGCTTACATAAGGGAAGGGATTGCATTCCATAGAAAACAACTCATCACATCCAAATAAGCCACTGAAGTGCACCAGGGAATTCTGAATATGTACCGAGGCTTTCGAGTAAGATGATCGGGGGAAGGACAACAAACTTAGCAGCCTGATCATTATTTTACTGTGCTAACTATTTTTCTTGCTTTTCACAGCTTCTTGCCTAGTTCCAGTAATATTAACGGGGGGGGGGGGGGACAACAAACTTAGCAGCCTGATCATTATTTTACTGTGCTAACTATTTTTCTTGCTTTTCACAGCTTCTTGCCTAGTTCCCAGTAATATTAGGTGGTATTCAAATAGTCTTCAGAAGCTTTGCAAGCTAAAGAAACGGTTACATCCAGTCCCAACTTGGACTGTTGGGCATTCGTTTACATCTGGTGTGCCACACATAACTTTCACTCCGTTGTGGTTCCCGGTTGTCCGGTAGACATAGTCAACAAACAAACAAATCGTACTTCGCCCAGCAAAACCGTAAAGCAGTTTCTTCATGCAGTGCAGATCATTGTGGTTTCTTAGTTTAACAGGTTGTTTCGTACTTATTTCAGTGCTTGTAGACGTATTCATCCCAGGGAACATGAAATCGGTGTATTCTGTGTGGTCAGACGTTTAATCGAGTTTATACAAGGTTCCAAACGGTATCCCATGAATTTCAGCAGTAGCGACGTATACAGCCGCAAATCAATCGTTCACTTGTTTACCAGGCTTGTTAGGCCACCAGTCTGATCATACGTTCCCTTACTTTCTGTGGCAGTTTAGTCTGGTTCATTCAACCCGTCAACCACTCACTCAGCCAGACTGGTCCTCGGTCCAAACCGATTGTTGCCTCGTGGTCGTAACATACTGCTCGACTTAGGAAGCTCGTTACCATGATCACTTCCTTTTCTCTCCATCCTCCCTTTCCTGTTTCCTGTTCAGTGTAGGCAGTCCTCCCTCTCACACGCTGCAACTGTTTGGTTGGATGAGGGACTGATACGGTCACCGACGTTGGTCGTGGTTACTAAGCCATCAAACTTCCTCCCCCTACTACTGGAAGTTTGTCATTGGTTTACTGGTCGGGTTGGGGACGCTTTCCGATGTGTTGCTGCATGGCATACGCACAAACACAGGAAGGCGCATGATCGTCACTCAGTTGTGTGTGTGTATATGCGGACGTGTGCGCCTGTGGTTCCTAAGTCGAGCGGCTTTGGATGTGGTCTGTCATCCGACTACCGATGCGGGTCGCTCTCTGCCTGATTGGTTCACGCAGCCGGATAGCTCACTGACCAATCCTGTGAGTGATCACTTGTGAGCCAGATAATTCATGCTTGAGTGAGAAAGCTCTATACTGTCTACAAAAAGAAAATAACTACCATACGCATAAAATCATCACTTATTACAGTTCCTGCACACTACATTATAAATCCATATGAAAACGGGACTGGTTCCAGATTATTGACACCATTCCTGAATTCAGGGCCCGGGATTTTTTAAAGCACCGTCGGCGCATTGTTGTCTGCGATCACCGTTTATGACGACATACGAGAGTCCTTTGAATGCTACAGCCCACATGAGTACGCTGGAAAGTGGAATAAAGCTCAAAGACGTCGCTTTCTCATTTGGAACCGCAGACACTTATTCACTGTCCACCATATCTGATGAAAATCAACCGATACTCATGAATGGTAAGCGGACCAATTGCCCATCACCAGATATTCCAAACGAGAAGTCATTATACCTCCCCGGCTCGTATCCCGCTTCAGTGAATTTCAACCCGATCACTCCTTCGTATTCCTTTACAGAGACGCGCACGAACAATTCGTACGAATATACACAACAGTGGTTGAGTAAATCCCCCACAGGAATACGTTCTTCTGAGTTCAACTATCCACCGAATGATTCCGATTTTATGATTTCGTCTAATTTTTCGAATCCTGCAAATTTAGCGGAAATAAATTACTCGAGACAGGTGTGTGGTTTCGATGTAGACGCTGGCATTAGTCCCACTAGCCAGACCAGCCTTCCTACATCACTTAAGGCTCCAGGTCCCGTTATTGGTGATTCGGTGAAATCCGGAAACCCCATGAACTCGGATCATCGTCAGCTTGGTTGCACAGATCGGACTTCCCATTACCCAAACTATGATTCGGCAGAGATTCGATCCACCGACTCTAATCTATTGGAACCGAATACCCGACAGGCATCCAAACTCGAGTCATCCCACGGAAAAGATCAGGAGGCACAAATAAGAACTTCGCAACCCCGATGCGCTTCGTATCAAAAGACAATCTGTCCAAAACCCGATCCGGATGAAGTAAAAAGTGTTGATGATACGGAGAACGAAGAAGATGAACTGGATTATTTAGACGAAGCAGAATCCGACGAGGATGGTGGAATATCAACGCGAAATGGTGGCCAAAACTCGGAATCAATGGGGTGTAAAGATGGCTCTGAATTGCATGTAGGGGTTCGAAACTACGACTTGAAACGAACACTGCAAGAGGAAGACAACATCTACTCCCCACAAGCACCGTACGAATCACTAATGTCACACGGAAACAAGGATATCCTGTACGACTCGGAGTTACATTCCGGGTCTACGTTGGATGATCATCCATCGATTCACTACGGGTCGAATATCAAGGTGAGTTCCATTACATGGACAAGATTCCGCCTTTCGTCATATCCTTAGAAGCAACGAATTCACAATATCATACGATACTTGCTTGTGTTGACTTACTCTTTAATCTACAAGCTCTTGTCAGTTCAGTTTCCTGTAAATAAGACCACTCTAGACCGTGATTAGCAAGAGGTTGTACACTGAAAGATCGCCAGGACTGCATACCTCATGAAACCCACAGAATGGTTCAAATTACAACTCACAATAGGAGTGTTAAGCACTCCGTGGTTGAGCACAAATGGGAAGCCGTGTGGTGCATTCGATTTACGTTATTACACAGATGCACAGCAGGCGAACTAATGCTGGGTCGCTTCTCGAATTAATACATCTCAGAAGGTTGGTAGTGTCTGTGGAGTGATTCACTATCTCTGCAAATAGTTTTTTAGTCACTTGTGGATTATTATTGACGTTCATGTGCTAACGGAAGGATGCGAATTCGAATAATTTTTGTGTTCTTGATAAGCACACTGTAGATAATTTAAAATCAGGATAGGGTAAGTGCGGGCTTCTCGATGCAGGCCGAATTGGACTTGTATGGTGAGGTTCACAGTTGTTCCGCGTCTATCCTGAAAATTTGTCGGGTAATCAAATTGGAATGAAGTCTATAGAATTTGAGCGTTTATCTCTACGAGTTTGACGGATCCACCGTTTCGGACTCCGATCACCAGCAGCTGAACATAACTTTTGAAAAATACTATATGCCTCACTTATATTTTGTGGCTTGAGATTTCGATGGCTTTAACGCATTTGGAGAGACAATGCACTTTTTGTCTCTCTCTAGAGAAAGTAGCACTGAGCTCGGGAATTCGGTAGATGGATGTACCCAAAAGTAAATACTGAGGGTTTTGTGTAAGTGTCTAGATTCAGTTTAAAGTCACCAGTATTAGGAATAAAAAAATGCATAGTTGCTCTTCAGTTCGCAAGCGCTTTGAATAGCACAATCTTAGGATTCCAGCCGGTTAATCTTACTGGCATAGGTAATGTTTGGAAACGTGATCTGAATTCTGGCAAGGCATGTTTATATAAATGCATATTCGTAGGGAACGATCGGATTTTTTACAATTTTCCTATGGTAGAACTGTTGTATCGTTTTTGCATGGTTTAGCATATGCGTTGAGTTATTTTAGGGGCCTGTAAGAAAGAAGTTGGGTAGTCGCACCAAACTTTTTGAATTCGGTTACATCTATCTCATTGGTTTCAACTAGAACAGGACGGGTGACGAGACTACCTTACTATCAACCAAACTCCCCAGCGAAGTGCAACAGCAGACTGCTACCAGAGTGAATTCAGCCTGGGAAATGAGGGAAACAACATGGTTTTCCTAGTCCCTTCAGAGGATATGTAGTTCTCATTGGATGTTCTCCCCCATGAAAGGAATGGTTTGTAAGAAACAATGGTGCACTTTCTAAACTGGACTAATGAAGTTTTAGTTGTAACTTGGTTCTAAAATGCACGGTCCTAAATGCATACGGTAGAATAAATAACCTCCTATGCAGTAAAAGCGTCAGCTATTTGAAGCCCTCGCATAGCTGTAACTGAGACATACTGATGCGTCGTAGACTACTTGCAAAATAGCCATCAAGCTCATTACGACTGAGTGATTTTTTGCAACCTAGCTAGTTTCATATTAGCACCACACGTCAAGCCGAATTCCATCGCAGCGGTTGAAAATGTGGCTCTTGGGAACTTGGAATTCTCCGAGTCATCTTGCGCTGCCCGGTTTATTCTTCCAATTTTGTAAGCAATCCGTGGTGTTAATTGATCTACTAATGACACCTCCCTCATATGCTCAGGTAAATTATGGAGTTAGCCAACTCAATTTCAGTAAGAAAGAGCGCTTGAATCAGTTAGACTTCGCATTTGGTTTTGTGAGAAACGGCCTAATGTGACAGTAGCCTAACGAATAGAAACCAATGGTACGGTGTAGTTTTGATGTGGTGTCCTGGCAACCAGAGAGTAACTCCTCTCAACAACGGAGTACCTGAACAAAATCAATAGCTTCTTGAAAGTGCCCACTCCTCAAAAGCAGTTAATTTTCCCTTCTGTGAAACTGCATCATAACTCATAATGAACAAAATTCCTGCCTATCTTTAATGGTGCTCTTTGTCTCAGCTGCGTAATGCCTTTATTACCGTCAGTAATGTCAATTCATTGCCAGCTGTCGTCCAGCAGCGATCAAGTCTATCAGGTGCCCAATTTGAATCGATTATTTGTTGAAGGGAACCATAGACTGGCTCCTTAAACTGAATAAAGTTCGCGCCTCCAAAATCGTCCTACCCATGAACAATTTCCTCGAAGGGAAAGCACCGCCAATTCGGTTCTCCGAGATTTAGTAAGTGAGATACCAAGCTCCAAAAGTCTTGCATAGGTCACTACGATGTTGATTTGCTAAATTTACTACCATAATATAACGCTACATCAACTGCACCACAAGCGGAATCACTATACCTCCAACTATCTACAATAATCTCCCCCAAAAGCATGACACGACGGGAAAGGGTTTTCCGACATGCCCCTCAGGTGGATGAAGGCTGACATAGATCACAACTAAGTGTGAATGTACTGAAACCACTTTGGGAAAGTCACCTTTCCTCTGTCTGTGGTCAGTGTATATGATTACCATAAATACAGTTGAAAGTGACTAAACTACATTACATATTAGCCCTGGTGCACATGTACCCGTCTGAACAAACCAGACTATTTCTTCCAATGATGTTTTGAAACACTTTCAGCAGACAATGTTGAATTGAATTCCACTGAACTTCTACCGCTATTTTGAAGCGAGAAAAACAATAAGCCCTAATATTTCAATGCTCTGTGGCTTATTTCGAATGTCTACTATATTCATTTAGTATTATCACAGTTTCAGAATTCCGACTTATATAAAGTGGTCAAAAGTTTGATTTTTAATTTAGGAGTGAGTGTTAAGTGTGTGGTGGAATATACTTGTTTTAGTAAAGGTATACTGACTGACCTGCGACATCCTGTAGCAAGTGTCATGGAAACTGCTTTACCGTATTCAAAGAAAGTTACTTTTTACACGGAAATTCGTCAAGAATAGTAGTCATTAAGTCAACTGATACACACAAGAGGGGAGCATGCACATTTTGTAAACACTGATCATTGGATTGTTTATGAAGTTCACGCCGAGGTAAACATGTGAGGAATTGAGCTGCAAACAGGGCATGAACCAGTTGTGAAGGGAGACCGGAATATTTGTTTATATGCAACGTTGGTCTGAAATCACATGAGTCCGCTAGGTGTAATGTCATGCTTCGTCGTAACCATATGGTCACATCAGTTGCTTACTTCATAACTTCATGCTTCAAAACGTGAGACTGAAGTTAGACAGACCATCTGTAACTTAGAGCTCTTTTCATTTGAAAGTCAACTTGAGATTCAAGTATGCAAAACCTAATTACTTTGTTGCGTTGGCAACCAAAACTGTCAGGTAGAAATTACAGCTGTTGTGTTTTGCCACACTTTCATGAATTCTAGCTTTTCCAGCAGTCCTTTCAAAATGTATGTACAAAGCTCAACTGACGAAAAGAGAACTTGATTTAAACTCATGCAGTAGATGAGACGGTAACAGAAGTATGAAAATCCTCGTCATACGACTGAATAACAGAGCGGCTAGAAAAGCTGAAAAGAAGAATCAAATGCAATGTTGAAATGGGCCACCCTTCCTCAGGCCTGTACAAACACTGTCATCATTTGTGATGTGTGTGTTGGATAGAATTTATAGACTAACTGAACCAAAACCAGTGTACTGGATAGTTTACAAAACAGATAGCTTATTGTTGGGACGACGTTCTCAGAAAGGAATGAAATAAAAGACAAATTAACCTTGTTTCGTTGCCGCTAGCTTTGAGGTTTACTGAACTGAAGTGATTCGGGTTGGTTTCACGAATGAACATCCCGCAAAGCAGCCTAACAAAATTAATCGGTTATTACAAGGTTCGTCCTCTGCCAGAGTCACAGAACTTTCGATTTTAGTAGATCTTGACAAAGCAAAATAACTTCACCACACCTGGTTGTTCAGTTTTTTTAAATGTTGTTCGACTAGACACGACCGGAGATGTTTTCACTGGTCACTTTGTGCCCAATATATCAATGAATGAACAGGTTTATCGGAAGGTGAGATCTCCATGTAAGGTGTAAGTGTCATAGCATTTCCCTTAGATCAAAATGGAACAGCTGACTTACCAATGGACAAGGTCGTGGATCTTGTTGCCACAGTAGTTAAATAGCAGAAGCATCCCTGATTTCCAGCCATCTATCGTATTCCAGAAGAGTGGAAGTATAATATGGAATGCTGAAATTATGAGCTCCGAATTCATATGAAGAATGCGGAGCTGTGGGGTCTCTGGACTGTCCTTTCTGCAACAATTTATTCACAAGTTGGTCTGCGACACATTTCCTAGTTTTTTCCAGACAGTAACGTTATAGAGTTTGTCAGAAACACACTTCGAATTGATCTGGTAAGCAAACCAGACATATGCATTTTGAAAGAGACGCTGACCCAATCCGGCTGACAAGACCCCCCAAGTAAAAAGTATGCAGAGGAGATGTCTTAATTGGCAAGCATTCCTACTATATTCAAGCCTCAAAAGTTAGTGTCAGGCTGTCAGATAAAGTGGGAACAGAGAGGATTGTGTTCATAACCTGTTATTTGCAGTTTTGAAACGACCAACTTGACGGACTATGGAATAATCAGTCATTAAATGTGAAGTTAGCTTCAGCGGTATGAACAAGGTGTGAGCAAGTGCCCGTTCGATAGACGAAAGGATGTTGTTGGAATTCTGGTCTCTGGAACTTGATTTTTGTTCTGTTTTGTAAAAGCATTATTTGTCTACCCCTAAGATGTCAAACTCAGCCGGCAAGCCAGGTGACTGACAACCGCACCGAAGGCAAAAAGAGAAGGCTAGGGTTGCTGTAACATTAACGGTATTTCAGTAACCAGA